CGAGACTATAAGAAGCACATCCAGGTGGGTGGCAGGACACCTGGGGCCTTTCCTTCTGGAATCTCCAGGGAGGTCGAGGTCTGGGCCACAGGAAAGGCCAAGCCCTCTTCAAGGACAGGGGTCAGACTTGACATTCTTCTCTTCACCAGGGACCGGAAGAAACAGGGTCCCCGTGTCACTGGGGCAGGGGAAGAAGGCTCAGAGAGATGCATATGGGTTAGTAAAATGCTCAGGCTCTGGATTCAGGGAGAATTAGGTGCAAACGGCAAACCGACCACTTAGCACAGCAACTGAACCTGTCTGAGCCACGGTTTCCTCATCTGTGATGTCTCAGGGATGTTATTGGGATAGAATGAGCATGTTAAGCACTTACCATGGGCCAAGAAAGGGAGGAGACTTCTGTAAGTCAGACCATGAGTTGGAGCCAGGATGGGGAGGAGGGAGACAGCGCATGCCCTCTGCCTGCTGGTCTGATGAAGCCACTCATGTCCCTGTCTAGGATTACGGGAGCCCCAGCCAGTTCTGGGAGCAGGAGCTGGAGAGCTTGCACTTCGTCATTGAGATGAAGAATGAGCGTATTCATGAGCTAGACAAGCGGCTGATCCTCATGGAAACAGTGGTATGTGGAGGAAGTGGGGGCGGGGGTGTCAGGGGGGATGCAGCCTCAGGCCTCTGCTTTCTGAGCATTTCCTCAGTGAGTGTGCAGAGGGTGGGACCCCGTCAGTGGAGTGTGCAGAGGGTGGGACCCCCTCAGTGGAGTGTGCAGAGGGTGGGACCCCCTCAGTGGCGTGTGCAGAGGGTAGGCCCCTCCCTCAGTGGAGTGTGCAGGGGTAGGACCCCCTCAGTGGAGTGTGCGCAGAGTAGGACCCCCTCAGTGGAGTATGCGGAGGGTAGGCCCCCCTCAGTGGAGGGTGCAGAGGGTGGGACCCCCTCAGTGGAGTGTGCAGAGGCGGCCCCCCTCTCAGAGGGTAGGCCCACCTCAGTGGAGTGTGCAGAGGATAGGCCCCCCTCAGTGGAGTGTGCAGTGGGTGGAACCCCCTCAGTGGAGTGTGCAGGGGTAGAACCCCCTCAGTGGAGTGTGCAGAGGGTGGGACCCCCTCAGTGGAGTGTGCAGAGGGTAGGACCCCCTCAGTGGCATGTGCAGAGGGTGGGACGCCCTCAGTGAGTGTGCAGAGGGGGGGACCCCCTCAGTGAGTGTGCAGAGGGTGGGACCCGGATGAGGCCCCCACCAGCTTTGACCTGCCTCCCATGCTGAGACTGCTCTGTGGCCAGTCTGGGTCAAGCAGTGGCTCCTTGTCATCTGGGTCCTGCACTTTTCTTGGCCACTCGTGTTGCTGTCACATGGGTGACACCAGGGTGCAGCCTGGCTAATGAGGAGGGCCTGGCAGATGTCACATGTCAGGCAGGGGCTGAGGAAGGCTGAAAACCAGACAGTATGTGAGGCCAGAGTGAGGGGGGACAGGCCTGGGAGCAGAGGGTATTGAGGACACAGGTGGCTGTGTCTGCAGGAGAAGGGAGGCCTTGGAAACCGGGGGTTGGATCTGCATGACATTACGTGGCTCTGGAAGAAGTCTCCCTGGCCTGTGCGTGCCACAACCTATATTTTAACCAGACAGTTAATCTCAAATGTTCCCTAGACATTTTGTCCAACCATTTTATGGCGTCGCAGAACAGGCGCACTTCATTTTATTTCTAGATAGTCTATCCCTGATTTTTGGAGAACCAAGACCATCCTTTCTCTTCTGAAACGATGGAGATACTAGGTGGTGGTGGCTGAATCCTTTTGTAACGTTCTCATGTGGCCAAATGAAAAACGGCCAGCCCCCTGTGCACACCTTAGCTTTATTTTTTTTTAAAGGCATCTTCTTGCTCCATGAACTGTAACATTTGGTCTAGAGTGAGTCAGCGTTCTTAGGGCCCACGGATCAGAGGGAGGCGACGGCACACATTGTTCGGTAGCCATCTGAGCTCGTTCTGATTTGTTACAGAAAGAAAAGAACCTGATGCTGGAGGAGAAGGTCACCGCCCTCCAGCAGGAGAACGAGGACCTCCACGTCCGGGGCCGCAACCAGGCGGTTGTGTCCAGGTAGCTGTTCCCGGCCTCCACTCCTCTCCCCTTGTTGCCAAAACCTCCAGTGGCAAGCCTCAGAGACGCCCAGGGGATGGGCTGACAGGTGGGCCCAGGCCTATCGGGGAATGTGGCTCCTCCTTCGTTGGGAGCCAGTATCCCTGGGGACCAACTCTGCCGGGAAACCTAAATGAAAGGCCCTGATTAGTATCCGTTTGTCCCCATCCTGGCTAAGTGGGCTCATGGGAAGCCCAACCTGAGACTAGCTCAGGAGGCCCAAAGAATGAACGAATGTACGTGAATGAATCAGATCTAAGGGCTTAGTAAATCAGAGCTGATATCGTGTCAGACATAATTTGATGACTACATATCGTCTACCCTCCTCATTACTCTAAGAGCTGGGTCCCATTATTCTCATTCCCATTTTACAAATGAGGGAACTGAAATTTGACAAGAGTAAATAACTTGTCCAAGGAGATACAGCTAAGGGTTGGGGCAGATTTGAACCCAGAGCTGTCTGCCTGTGAGGGCTCCTTGGTCAACAGATCAAGTCACCTCTCGCATGCGAGGGGGCCTGATGGGGTGGGGGGACCCTGGGGCAAGCGGTGACCCGTCTATGGAAGAGGTCCTAGAGGAACGGGTTGGTCTCTGCCGCCGCTGGAGACCCTGAGGGGCAACCCGGGCCTCTGTCTGCACCCACAGGCAGCTCTCGGAGGACCTGCTGCTCGCCCACGAGGCCCTGGAGAAGGAGTCGCAGCTGAGGCGACAGCTGCAGCAGGAGAAGGAGGAGCTGCTGTACCGGGTCCTCGGGGCTGACGCCTCCCCCGCCTTCCCCCTGGCCTCCGTCACGCCCACTGAGGTCTCCTTCCTGGCCACATAGGCTCAGGGCCTGGCCACCATGCCGCCTGTGTCACCGCTCCCTCTGCAGGACCTTCCGAGGAGACGGCAGGAGCCTCTCGTTCTGTCCCCAGGAGGGACGAGGGTAGGAGAGAGATGGGAGCCAGGGTGTGTGCCCGGTGAGCCGTGGGGCTTGGGCCACGTAGACTCACCCACGGGGCGTTAGAGGCCCCAGGAAGCCTTCCCTCAAGTTGGCCCAGGGAACAAGCAAGAGGAGCCCTTCCGGTCCTCCCCCCTCTCTCTGTTCAAATCAGGGAGTTTTGAGGCTTTTCCCAGGGGGGGCCTGTACCGCTTTGAGCATCGGACAAAGAGGACACACCCTCCTGGTCTTAACTTGTGAGCTTTGCTGCCAGCTCATCAACCTACCCCTAGATGTCTGCACTTCTGCCCTGGCCTTCTCTCAGCCTCAGTTTACTGCTCCTCTAAAGCGGATGGGGGAACTGAGCAAATGACTCTTACGTCACGACAGTGTCCCATTCTGGGATTGTCTGAAGGTCAGATAGGGACTTCGGGACAGGGGAGGAAGTGGGCCAAACCCTACGATTCACCTGGGAAAGGGAGCATCTGGGAGGGGGTCCGTGGAGGCCCTTGGGGCTGGCAGTGCCAGGGGCCACCCAGCCAAGGCAGGGTCTGGGCAGGGCATCAGACATGCCACTGCTCCTGCTCCCAGAGTCTGGTCAACCCAGGGCGGATGGCCAGAGCTCCTCCTTGACCAGGCAAAGCTCACTCCTCAGCCCTCCGGGTCCTCAGTCTCAGTGCCACGTGGGCACGGGGCCCACCTGGTGCATCTGAATCACTCCACGGCCAACGCCAGAACCTCCTCTCTATCCAGATGAGGAAACCTAGGTGGGGAGTGGGCTCACGGAGCCAGGACAGGGGCCTCATCTGCCATTCAGGTCTCATCGTGTGCTTTTTCTTTCTCCCCAGACTCTGGGAAGATCAAATCTGTGACAGTCTTTCTCCTCCTTCCTCTCTCTGGCCCCCACCCACTCCAGTCTCTCTTTTACTCCTGTTCGCACCTTAACTCCTTCTACCACCCCTGACCCCAGGCCCCTAGCACCTGGCCCTCCGCTTCCCCACCAGTGCAAAGGGGTGGCTGGAGCAACTCACCCGGGCAGGCCAGTCTGGCCCTCCTATCTGTGGATTTAAGATTCTTCTCAGGAAGCTTCCGGTCAGCAGGAGGCTATAATAACAACCTTCCTTGCTTAGAGCATTTTAATTAAATGCTTTCCGATACCCCTCCTACTCCGATCTGCATAAAATATTGAAGCAGGTTCTTACCTCTCTTCAACATCAAAGCAGACTGAGATCACAGGAGCCCGAGGGCCTTGCCTGAGGCCCCCAGCGCCAGCCCCCAGCCCTGGGCCAGCTCATAGGAAAAGTTAGTCCACTAGAACTAAGGTTTCCCTCCATCGTCCCACCTGCCTTCTTCATTTCTAGTTCTGGGGGTTCTGCAGGGCTAGGGGAGTCCATCGGTGGGCAGATGGGTTATCCAGGAGCCTTGGGGCAGCTCTGGAGTGACTTACACGCGGACTTCTTCAGGTAACTTTCCCCAAAGCCTGTCTGGGATACACTAGTTCATTGGACACAACCAAGAAAAGAAGTGGTGGCCAAGTAATTTGAGCAACTCTAGGTTCAATCCGATGAAGCAGATCTGCCAGCTGCAGGCCTTCTCAGAACCTTTAATATGCTAACAGACATTTCAGAGTCCCAGGGAAGAAGCAAAGCGTTTCCTAAACTTCTCTGACTGCGTTCAGAGCGCTTCCGGCAGCGGCAGAAAGCCCTTTGGAAAGCCTGTTTCTGTGGGCAGGGCTGGAAAGGGGGCAGGTTGTGGGGAGCAGGGTTTCCCTATGTAGCCTGTGGTGCCTGGAGGAGATAAACTGTGGTCTTAGCCTCACCCTGGGGCAGACAAGCTATGGAAACCAAATAGAAACACAATAGTATTCTCTTGGCCTCTGTGTTTTCCTGGGAGAGGGAAGAGGTGGATCCTGCTGATGACTCTGCCAGGGGCAGGCATCTGTGAGGAATAATCCTGGGGCCTGGGTGGCTCGGCAGGGTCTAGGCTTCCTCCCAGGGTGCTGGTGCCGCCCTGGCCCTGGCTTTGCCCAGCGCTGCACCTGGGGTTGGAATGGAGCTGGCTTTCAGAGAAGGTCAGGGCAGGGCGTGAGGCAGTGAGCGGGAAGTGAGGGGTGAAAGTAGAGATGGGAGAGTGTAAGGGGTGAAGGCCAAGGTTCTTTCTTCCCACGGGGGGCACCTCCTTGGCATAAAAAACACCAAAGTTCACACAATTACCAACCCCTGCTTCTGCCCATTGCTCATACGCAGATGCCTGCAGTCAGGGAGGGACTAGGAAGGGGCAGGGGAGACTCGAGGGCTCCGGGTCACATGGACATGGGTGGTGGCCATCCCAGTGCCCTGAAGGTTGGCGGCCCGGCAGGTGTAGACGCCAGCGTCCCCAGCCCGGGCCTCTTCCACATACAAGGTGCTCCCTGCCTCCTGGTGAGCCTGGCCCTCCCTGTGGACCACGTCAGCCCGCTCACTGACGTAGGGGGGTCGGCCCATCTGTAGGGAAGAGATAACCATCTGTCAGCTACACCCAGTGCCGTCTCTCACTCAGGCCCCAGCGGGTAAGAGGGACCACGTATCCTTCTGGGGAAGGGGAAGTGACTTGCCCAAGACCACAGCTCAGTGTCAGAGCCCCCGAAAGGCCAGGTTCTTTGTGGAAAATGTGAAGCTTGTCAAGTCCCTGGAGAGCAGCTGGGGCCTCCTACCCGCTCACGGACACTCGGGGTAACGGGCAGAACAGCACCTCTCTGGGTGGGTGGGCAGCGCTCTGGTTCTGCGGGGATGTCAATGGCTACTCCCTCCCCGAAGAGGGGAAGTGGGGGACTCATGATCAAAATTGCCTGGGAAACACTGAGTCAAGCAAAGTTAAACTGGGGAGACGCAGACCACTGTGTCTGTCACGTGTGCAGGTGGGTTTTGAATCTCCAAAGTGGGTGATGGTTATAAGAGGCAGTGTTCTCCTAAGAACACTCCTTTTCGAGGAGAAAATGTTTGGGGAGATGCTGGCAGAGGGAAACCATGGTCTCCCAACCATCTGCATGTCCTTTTTCTCTTATTGGGTCTCAGCTTGCACTTTTGAGGGAAATTGCTTGACAATTTTTTTTTTCTTTCACTAGTGTTGTCTTCTCATAATTTGCTACCTGCATCAGTTTTCCAGGAAGTCAGAGGGGTGGTTAGGAAGAAAATTGGAAAAGCAATTTGGAGGTGGGGAGAGAAGGAGCTTGTGAAACAGGCAAAAGGAGGATGTTGCAGGTGACAGGTATGGTGGGCAGAGGGTGGAGGAGGCCAGGAACCCTCCACCTCACATCCCAGCTCTTCCAGGAAGCACTTTTAAATGTTCCTAAAGAGACATCTCCATCATGGCAGAGTGACAAGACTCCTTTGTTTCTCCCCTTGAATTTACAACAAGTTGGATATGTGTAACTCAGAGGATCCCTAGCTCAACACACCAACAGCCTGAAAGATCCACGCATTGGGGCATCTGAAGGTGGGCGCACTGGAATGAGAAGGGGAGAGGGAACAGGGAAGGACAGGGATGGTGGCAACAGATGTGGTTTGCTGCCCACTGCAACTCCAGCAAGCAAGGTCCTAGTGAAAAAGTGGAGCTGCAGCCCTCACAGTAGGGCCTGGAGTGTAAGAGGGGCAGATGTGAGATCATGAACTTGCCTTTCTGCCCTACCCATCTCAGCAGAGCCCAGTAGAGGCCGTGAGATGCCTCCAAAAACACAGCAGGGGCAGTGGCCACTAGTGTGTGTGTTTGGGGTGGTGGTGGGAGGGGAGTGGCTCTGGGAGCTCATAAAAGCCGTTCTCCACTACCCTCCACATCCCCTCACTTCAATGGTCATGTCATGTAACCAAGGCGAGCTGGTCACAGAGGGGAATCCCAGTGGGTTTGCAGCATTTTCCTCAACCTTAATGATGCTGCTCCACCACTAGCCCAGAGGTGCTAATGGTGCAGGTAAGAGAACACAAAAACTTGTGCTATACCACCATCTACTGGGAAACAAAAGAAAGTACCTACCTATTAACGTGCTGAAGTGAGAGCAGAACAGTATCTAAACAAGAGTTCACTGCCTCAGATGTGCCGACAGAGAAGCAATCCATCAAATACCATGAACAACCAAGGTAACATGCACAGAAAGAAAATGAAAAGTCTCCAAATTCAAAGTCATGGAAGACTGTGACTTAAATGACAGAGAATTCAAGATTGTAGTGACAAGGAAACTCAATGGTATACAAGAAAACTCAGAAAGGCAGTTGTATGAGCTCAGGAATAAAATTAATAAAAAGAAGTACTTTACCAAACAGATTGAAACTACAAAAAAGAACCAAACAGAAATTCTGGAGTTGAATAAATAAATGAGATGAGGGATGTATTAGAGAGCATTGGAAATAGAGCAGATCAGATGGAAGAGAGAATTAGTAAGCTTGAAGATAGAATCTAGGAATAACCCAGGAGGAAGAAGAGAGGGTTTTTGTTTTTTTTAAATTAACGCACCCTACAAGAACATTAGGAAGAGCAACCTAAGGATAATACGTGTAATAGAAGAAAGGAAAGCCTGTTCAATAAAATAATTGATGAGAACTTCCCAACCTATGGAAAGAACTAGAATTTAAAATTGAGGGAGCTAATTGAACATATAATTATACCAACAAAAAAAGATCTTCTATAAGACACCCTATACTTAAAGTGTCAAAAATTAGTGACAAAAGATTCTCAAGGCAGCCAGGGAATCTATAATAATAAAAGCGTAATATGCTAATTAGACTGGACACCCTTCCGGATGAAGCTGGGGCTGCAAGGGAAGCCCAGGTCCCAGGTGCCAGCAGCCAGGGGAAGGAAAACCTACTCTTGCATGAATTTTGCACATCGGGCCTCTAGTAAGACTATAACCTACAATGGAAACCCCATTTGATTATCATCCAATTTTATCAAGAGAAGCATTACAAGACAGGAGGGAATGGAAGGAAATATTGAAAATAGTGAAAGATGGGAACCATCAGCCAAGGATTTTATCCTTTAGATATGAAGGAGAAATTAAAGCTTTCCCAGGCAAAGAAATGTTGAAAGGAGCCCCTCTATCAGAAAAAAACACACAAAAGTATACAAAACAGACAGAAGCAAGACACTGCTCACCTCCCATTTGTAAGTGATTTGGGCTGGTTGGGCCTCAGCTTGAATGTCACCTCAGAGAAGACATCCTGACCGCTCTCTATCTTAAATACACCTGGTCACCTTCCCATTTCATCCTTGATGTAGCTCCTAGTGTTCTCCAGATGATGGCGTTTGTTCACTGCCCCTTCCCGTTTAAACTGTGAGCTCGCAGAGAGCAGAAGCCCTCTCTTATTGGCTCAGCATCATAGAGTACCCAGTACAGTGTCTGGCTTGTGGTGGGTGCTCAATAATTATTGTTGGATAAATTAACAAAGGACCACATTATACATTTTTATACATTAACCTGAGAAGTAGCTCTACTTGACAGATGAGGACACTGAGGCCCAGAAAAGGGAGGTGACTTGCCCAAGGTCACTCAAAGAAGTAGTGTCAGAGTTGGGACTAGGATCCCTGTTCATCAGATTCCTAGTCAAGCAGGGGTTCCACTCTGCTGTGATCGCTCCTGGCCCTCATCCTAATCCTTCACTCCCACACTCCTGCCCCAACACACCACCACCACCACATACACACATATTTTCATCCTCTGCCTACCTTCTGCCCCGGATATTCCCAACGGAAGTCCACAGCAATCTCTGGCTCACTCAGAACCGTGCAGGTCACACTGAAGTTCTCTCCCAGAAGGACCGATGTTGTTGAAGCTTGGATGGTGGGTTTGGGGGACGATGATGGGTCTGCCATGGAGAAGATGGGAGAAATGGGGACAAACATGTTGAATTGATTGTTGCAATGATTGAATGGATGGGTGAAATGGTTAAATTGATAGAGGATGAATGGTTGAGGTGGTTGAGTTGATAGAGGTTGTGTGAATGGCTGTAATGAATTGATAGAGGATGAGTAGATGATGGAACAGTTAATCTGATGGACGATGGGTGAATGGAATGGTTGATTGAAGGGAGGATGGATGAATGGAATAATGTGACTTGATTAAGAATAAGTGGGTGGACAGAAAGGCTGAACTGATGCAGGCTAGCTCAATAGCTGATTGCCTGACTATTTCTGGACAAGATAGTCGAATACACAGAGTGTTGTGAAAAGGTGGTTGGTGGTTTAGAGCTAATCCACAGATTCCAAACCTGAGGTTCCCAAAGGAGGCATCCCTCCCATATCCTCCTCTGCCCTGCCCTGCCCTGCCCTGCCCACCCAGAGACCTAGGCTCACGCACAGTTGATGTAGATCAGCATGTACTTGGTAGAGATTTGTCTCAGGCCTCGTAGGCTGGCCAAGCAGAAGAGGGAGCCAGCCAAGGAAGCTCGGGGCCGGTGGATGGTGAAGCCCTTCTTCACATCAAAGGAGATGTCCGTCCCATCCACTGGGACCTCCTCTGGGGGGAACTCCCGATGCAGCGTCACCTGGGCCAGGGGGTTGGTCACCTGGCAGGGAAGCAGGGCTGGTTGATGACTGCGTAACTGTACCACCTCATAATAATTCTCTGTGGGGACAAAGAGTTCTCCTGGGTCTGGGAAGGAAGGAGGGAGAGAGAAGAATGAGCTTAGGACAGATGTATTGTTTCCTGATGCTCTACCATCACTCATGAGCGTAAGTCCCTTGAGAGGATTTGAAATCCCACTTTCCCTGCCCTTCTCTATTCTCCATGTTCTTTCCTCACTGGTAAGGGGTTCTGGACTGGGAGCTGAAGACCAGCCTGCTGCTTCAAGCTTTTGTCATTAGCTGGCTGTGCATCTTAAATCCCTCTCTGGTCTTTAGTGTTTTCATTTGTTCACTGTGGGGTTCGGATGGCTTGGTCTCTAAGGGTCCTTCTATGTGGAAAGTATTACAGGAAGTACTGAACTTGCAGTTAGGTTTCTGGTTGGATTCCCAGTCCTGCCACCCTCTCACTGTGGGATCTTAAGCAAATCACTTTCTTCCTTTGAGCCTTTGTTCTTCTTACATGTCAAGTAGGAGCGATTATGGCCTACTTTGCAGAGCTGATAAGAGGCAAATGGGATACTGGATATGAGGCACCAGGCCTGTGAGAGGCACACATTCATCAAACTCTTTCAAGGTACCTTTTGCAACATAGCCTCAGGCCAGATTCTTGGGTGCACAATGGTGCAATGAGTAGGAATTACCTCGGGACCAGCTTTCTAGAGCAGTGCTGTCCAATAGAACTTTCCGTCAGGATGGAAATGTTCTGTATCCGTGCTGTCCTATGTCACCACTAGCCACGGGCATTTCAAATGTAGCCCGTGCAACTGAGGAGCGGAACTTTAAACTTTATTTCATGTTGATTAATTTAGATTTAAATAGCCACATCGATTTTGTGGCATCTGTATTGGATGAAACGGCTCCAGGGTGAGGCAAATGCAATGGTTAACTTTGGCTGAACATCAGAATCACCTGAAGTGATTTTAAAATAACCAAGTCCTGGGCACCACCCCCAGACCAAGTAAACCAGCACCTTGCTGGGGGCGGGGGAGAGAGTCAGTCGGTTTAAAGTTCCACAGGTGACCCTAGTGGGCAACCAGACTTGGGAAGCACTGAGTGCTGGTTCCCAAATCTTCTCTGGGCTCCAGGCTTCATCCAGCCTTAATGGGCATGGCGCCCAGAAACCTGTGTTTTTTAAGGTGTTTCCGGGTGACACCGAGTCAGGGTCAAGGACCTGTGGGTTGGGTAATTATTACTGCTACGGTTGGATTTGAGTAAGGGAAACTCAGCGGATTCTAGGGGCGTCATCTGTTTCCTTGGTGGGACAAAGTCGGGCTCCTCAGTTCTCCTTGGAATTAGCCATGGAACCCTAGATCGTCCAGGTAGGATCTTGGAGACCACTGGCGCAATTCCCTCACTGAACAGGTGGGACGAAGGGGAGAGACTTAGACAGTTATGTTTGGAGGGTTTTCTGGGACCGCGGTGCTTGGAGACCCTGCTCCAGGGCACCTGTGAAGAAGATGAAGGTCTTCCCCTGGCGGTCCTCGCCCTCCGTGCAGGCGGCATCCTGGCAGTCTCGAGCCCAGCAGCTGTATTCCCCGGTGTCCGCGCCCGTGGAGTTCACCAGCTGTAACCGGCTGTGCTGGCTGAAGTGCTTGATTCTGAAAGACCGTCGGTGGGGGCAGGAGAGGGGGTGGCTTGGGACACTGAGTGGCAGCATTGGGTTGGTTGACAGTCCTCCTCCCCAACTTTCATCGCTCAACCACCCAGCTCCCCTTCCCCAATGGAGCTGGCCCGGTTTGTCTTGGCCCCACCCACCGTTTCTGATTGGCTCGCCTATCTCACACGCAACTTCTCATTGGATCATCTATCCCCCACTGGCCATGCCCACACAGGGCAAGCGGGATCCCAAACATCTCTGCGCTCCTGGGATTTCCGCTGGCCCTTAGTTCAGGGCAGCAATTGCCCTCTAAGCGCCTCCACCTGCTAAAGGAGGCAGTCCCCGGAGATCTCATGTTAAGAAACTAAACTGAGAACAGTAGGCAAACCTTCTGAACCCAGATCCCAGCCTCCGCCTGGTTCTCTTCTGGACTGGAGTGGGCAGTGCTGGTGGGGCCAGCTTGGTCTCTCTCTGGCTTCCGAAGGCGGTGCCCTGACAGAGGGTGGCCGCCAGCTGGACTGTCGGCCTCTTTTGCTTTGCCTCTGCCACCTTCCTCCCTACGGGCACTATTTGCTGCCCCCAGAACTGACTTCCCGGAATTGTGGGAAGCCACGTGTCCATTCTGTGAAGCCACTCTGCCTCTGATGGGTCTTGCGCGCCCATCTTACTGTTTCCTTTAGGTGCCTGCAGTTGTACAGAATGGGATGCCCAGTGTGGGTCCATCTTAATCCCTATGAAAACGGTGTAAGTGCTTATAAACCGCTGCCCAGCTTCCTCCGAGCCACCCTGGACCCATTCAGGCTGTGGCAGGAGTTCCTCCTCCCCATACCTGAGGCGGCCCTCACCCTCCTCTTCCAGGTACTCGGGCACCCTCCAGTGGACCACCTTTCCCCGGCAGCGCAGCTCCAGGGGCTCCCCAGCCCGCAGGCTCAGAGAGTCCCCCACCTTCTGGAAGTGGCCCCTCCCCAACACCTGGGTCAGGATGGAGGGGACCGGGGTGCCGGGAGCTGCAGTCTCCACAGGAGTCTTCTTCTGCAGGGGCTGCTGTCTCCGCTCTGACTTGGAGGACTTGGGTTTTCTCCTGCCGGAGGCTCCTGGGAGGCTCACCCCCCCAGGGCTGGCTGCTTTGCCATCCTTTTTCTGAGCCTTTGGAGCTCTGCCACGCTCCTGGATTTCAGCTGCAGGAAGACAGGGTGGGTCTGGGGTCACCATTCGCTCCAGTTCTGTCCTTTCCTCACCCCAGGAGTTGACTGATCTCAGAGTTCTGTGAGGATCTTGTACACAAGTCATTGTCTCTCTTTAGGGGAAAAATATAAAATACAGACAAACCAAGAAAAATATTAAATTTGCCCCCAAACTTACCATCCAGAGATAAGCACCATGAATATTTGAAGCACGTTTCCCCAAGGCTATTTGAATGCAAGTATTTTAAACAGCTACTTTGTAAAGATAAAATGGAATAATATAATACGTATCTTTAATCTGAATTCTCACTTAGTGATATGTTTTGATTACTATTCCATGGCAAACACAGGTACACCAACATTTTTTAAAAATTTTTTATTGATTTTATGAGCATGAGAGAGAGAAACATCCATGTGAGACCAACATCTATTGGCTGCCTCCTGCACACCCCCTCCCAGAGATCGAGCCTGAAACCTGGGCATGTGCCTAACTGGGAATCGAACCAGCAACCTTCAGTGTATGGGATGGCACCCAAATCACTGAGCCACACCAGCCAGGACTGTACACCAACATTTTTAATGACTTGTATGTGATTTCATGGTAGGGATTTCATAATTTATATTTTCATTGTTGAGTATTTGGGTTTTTACATTCTTATCCAAAATAAGCAATTCTGCAGTAATCATCTTATACATACACCTTTACTCAGATTGCTTCTTGAGAATGAATTTTTTAGAAGTGAAACTGCTTGTGGGCTATGCAAGGGAACTTAACACATTTTCTTTTCCAACTTGCCACCAATATTTGAAAGCCTTCTTAAGCGTGCTCCAAAAGAGGTCGCTTAATCTGCACTTGGATCTGTCTAGTGATGGGGAGCTCAGTATTTAATAATACCAATAGCTGCCGTTGATAGAGTCTACAGCGTTTCTGGAACTGTACTAGCCCCTTTATATACATTTTTAAAAATATCTATTTTATTGTGTTTTTTTTTTTTACAGAGAGGAAGGGAGAGGGATAGAGAGTTAGAAGCATCGATGATAGAGAAACATCGATCAGCTGCTTCCTGCACACCCCGTACTGGGGATGTGCCCGCAACCAAGGTACATGCCCTTGACCAAAATCGAACCAGTCCCTTCAGTCCGCAGGCCAACACTCTATCCACTGAGCCAAAGCAGTTAGGGCTATAAACATTTTCTTATTTCATTCTCTTAATGACTGCAAAGTACATATTATTCTCTGTGACTCACTGGTGTCCTACAGCTTAAATCAATTCTGACACTATCTACACAGAGAGGACCCCGCAGGTTAATGGCTCAGTCCCACAAGCCTGGCCCTCTCCTCCCACTTAAGAGCTCAATCTCAAGTCCCAGGTTGTCACCTATGCTTCTGACTGACAGGCTATAAATAGGGGGTCCCACACTCCTCTCCTGGGGTTCGATTTGCTAGAATGACTCATAGGACTCAGGCAAACATGTTTTCCAGTTGATTATAAAAAGAAACGATAAAGGATACATATAACCACCCGGATGGGAGAGACGCACAGGGCCAGCTCTGTGGGAGGAGCACAGGGCTTCTGGGGCCTCTTCAGGTGCACACGCTCCCAGCCCCTCCGCCTGCTCAGCAGCCCAGAAGTTCTCCCACCCATCATCCTCTTGGGATATTTCTGGAGGCTTCCCCACACAGGCGCCATCCATCATTAACTCAATCGCCACCCCTCTCCGCTTCCCACAGGGTAGGGGTGGGGCTGACCGGTCCAAGCTTCTTTGGTCTTTCTGGTGGCCAGCCCCATCCTGAAGCTATCCAGCAGCCCTCCAAGAGTCACCTCATTAGGACAAAAGACCCTCCTATCACACAGGAAATTCCAGGAGAATCAGGAACTCTGAGTCAGGAATCGAGGCGGGTCAAAGACCAAGTATCAGAACAAAAGACGCTCCTGTGCTCTTATCACTGAGGAAACTGCAGGGGCTTTAGGAGCTCTGTACCCAGCACTGGGGGCAAAGACCAAAATATGATTTTTCTATCATTTCACAACAAGGTAAAAGGTCTCCCTGGTGTCCCTAATGAGGACATCTATCCTGGAGGCCATGCCCAACCTTAGAAGGAAAGGGTGTTTCAATAACTTTTTTTTTTTAAATATATTTTATTGAATTTTTACAGAGAGGAAGGGAGAGAGATAGAGAGTTAATCCACAGAGCCAAACCGGTTTTGGCTGTTTCAATAACTTTAAGAAGGCCCTAACTGGTTTGGCTCAGTGGATAGAGCGTCGGCCTGCGGACTCAAAGGTCCCAGGTTCGATTCCGGTCAAGGGCATGTACCTTGGTT